TGTAAATGCTCTACAAGGCCCAATTCTTGTGACAATTGTTCATTATCACCCAAGGGTGCCCCAACACTCCAGAAGACAAAATTCTTGACTGATTTGGATGAAACTTGGTGAAATTGTATGTTTTTACCAATGGATGAACCCTATTGAAAATCATTACGTCAGATGATTATGAGTTATTGCCCTCATTTATCGATCCGCGTAGAAGGCACAATTCTTACAAAAACCTAATCAACCAGTAACCTTTTGTTCACTCAAAGCAACATACAACACTTTTTACAATAATATTTATCGAAAGCTGGGAAAAGTGGTAGACAAATTGCCGATGAAATAGTTGTTGGAAAGATGCAAATTCAGGTCATATTGAAACGCAAAGCAGAAAATATGGACGGTTTTTGACGAGGATGACACTGTGCCACTATCTGTGTTCAGAAAATCTAAAGAACTCTTCGGTGTTTGGTTCCAGAAGTTGCCAGAACTTGACAATTATGCAACATATGTGACCAATCACTGGTTGATTGGAGGAAAAGTGCAAAGGATTTATTAACCTAAGAAATGGATCATTGTGATAGTGATAATGAAATTGAGAATGTCAGTGTAACACCATCACTCATCAGCATCAGCATGAGATTGACGGGTGACATTTTCTGTAATAGGGTGAGAGAATATGCTGAGCAAAACTGTGATTTGAACATGCTAAAAACAGTCATGAAGTTAAAGGAAATGACTAATTAAGGTAAGGCAAGGTAATATACGCCCACTGGCAGCTTTGATTTTAAATAAAAATATTTGGCAGTACAGTACAGCACAGTACGATTACCAGTATGAAATATTCAACCTTCAGACATACACTTCTTTTGAACTTTTTGAGGCAATACTGAATAATATTATCAAAATCTGTCAAGAATTGGGCCATCTAGAAATTGAACGTGTTTTCAAGAACAAGGGAAATAACTCATACTAAATATTTTTCAATTTTTCTAATTTTCGATAGGGTTTATCCTTGGGTGATTACAAACACTCACACCAAGTTTTGTCAAAATCCGTCAAGAAATGTGCCTTCTAGAGTGTTAACTAGCTAAAATTGAACGAGCTTTCAATAGCAAGGGCAATAACTCACACTAATTATTTTTCGATTTGTCTGATTTTCAATAGGGTTCATTCTTGGGTGATAACAAACACTCATGCCAAGTTTCCTCAAAATCTTTCACTAATTGTATCTTCTAGAGTGTTTACAAGCTAAAAATTGAACGCGTTTTCAAGAACAAGGGCAATAACTCATACTAAATATTTTTCGATTCTTCTGATCTTCAATAGGGTTCATTCTTGGGTGATTACGAACACTCACAACAAGTTTCGTCAAAATCCGTCAAGAATTGTGCATTCTAGAGTGTTTACGAGCTAAAAATTGAACGCGTTTTCAAGAACAAGGGCAATAACTCATACTAAATATTTTTCGATTTTTCTGATTTTCAATAGGGTTTATCCTTGGGTAATAACAAACCCTCACGCCAAGTTTCATCAAAATCTGTCAAGAATTGTCCCTTCTAGAGTGTTTACGAGCTAAAAATTGAACGCGTTTTCAAGAACAAGGGCAATAACTCATACTAAATATTTTTCGATTCTTCTGATTTTCAATAGGGTTCATCCTTGGGTGATTACAAACACTCATGCCAAGTTTCGTTAAAATCGATCAAGAATTGTGTCTTGTAGAGAGTTTACCAGCAATTCTGGACGGACGGACGGATATGGGTGGTGGCAATATACGCCCCCCACTTCATGTGGGCGTATAAAAATTAATAGAGGCAGTAGACAAACCTTGCTGCAGGATTTCTTTGCCAAGTGGAAATTACATGTACATGTAATATGAATACAATTGCTTCCACAAAGTCTCAGATTGTTATCGAAATGTCAATTTTTTTTTTTTTTTTTACACACCTTCTTTTTTTGCAAAGCCAGTATTTGCACATTTCCAAATGTCTAGAGGTCGAATTTTTGGATTGATTTTCTTCAGAATTTCATATTTGGAATCTATAATAATAGTAATATCTGATATGATAGCAGTTAAGAAAAAATCAAAATCCGAAAATTTGTCGCACACGTTTTTCGACCAAATTTTGCAATTTTCAACCAAAATAAACTTCTTAATTTTTTGTCCGATTAACCTGAAAGTAAACAAAAAGGCACGGTAATGTTTGTAATTCACTTCCGGTTTAACGGGAAATCGATTTTAACTTCTGGTTGAATATCTTCCTGTGTTATAAATAAATGTCAACAAAATTGAACTCATAAGCAGCCATCGTTTTTCTACAGCCGATTTTAAAATAAAATCCATTAAGGAAGTGATACTTTGGTTGCCATTTTTATTTTCCTGAAATGCATCAAAATCTATTCAGAAATAACAGCTTATCCGATTTAGATGACTTTGGTGTCAAATGAAAGAACATGAAAAACAAGAGCCTCTGGAAGCCCGATTTTTAATTTTCGCTTTTGATTTTTTGCAATTTCCGGTTGGAATCTTTGAATGTTTGAAGGCTCATATTTCATGACTTTAACCTTTAATGACCTTGACCTTTAATGAATTGTGCCCACTGGCAGCTGTCAGAATATGATAAAACAGTCTTTAGTGACTAAAGTACAAATTTTTTCTCATATTGAAGAAATTTTATCAGTTTGAATTCAATTACATATATATATTTTCCAGTATTTATGCTGAGTAATTCCACAAAATTTTTTAAAATCAATATCAATAACCCAAATACAACAAACAATTAAATCACACAGCTCTAATCAAGGGCAAAAAAACAACTTTTGACACGGTTTTACAAAGTCAAGGGCAATAACTAAAAAAAAATTCATCAAAAATATGTCAAGTCTTATAAATTCCAATGATCACACCAAGTTTCCTCAAAATCGATTTAAAACTGTAGCTTCTATTGTTCTCACAAACAAAATTTTGAAGTGTTTGACAAAGTCAAGGGCAATAACTCACAAACCCGTCGATTGAAAATGCCTCAAGTTAGAACTTGTCTGAGATCTTATTGATTCCAATGATCATACCAAGTTTGATCCAAATTGGTTGAAAACTGTAGCTTCTGTAATGCTCACGAACAAATTTTAATGCGGACAGGGGCAACAACAATATACGACCACATATTCATGTGTGCATATAAAAAGGGGCAATAGCTCATACTTAATATTTTTCTTATATTTGGGGTTCATCCTTGAGTGATTATAGACATATAGTTTTGTCAAAATTGCGACTTCTAGAGAGTTTACAAGCAATTGTGGACAGACCGATGAACAGCCACACAGACAATGTTGGACATGTATGTATGGCACCAATATTAAGCTTCACATCTAATCAGGGCATTGAGAGGGCTGTTCAGTGACATTCAACAATTACTATTTAAGGCCAATTACTGTAATCCAAACAATTTTCCATCACAGGGACTTTATTTTTTACTGGGAGAATGAGAACAATGGGCCACAGTAGTTTTAAATTTTTAGTTTTTTTTTCTGAAACTTTATATTCATTAATTAAAAAATCAATATGCAGATTCAATCCAGTACTAATGTTTCTGTAACTGTTGCAGAGTACTAACAAATTCAAACATTTTTTTAAAGTACAAAAAAGTTCAAAGAACGCCCTGCAATTATAACAAAAACATGACTTTGAAAAGAAAACTTCAAACAAAAAAAATTAAAGGATATGTGCATAGTTTGCTTTGATGCCCCAAAACAACTCCTTGATGTTACAAATGCCCTCTATTAGCTGTACACACAAAAAAAATGCGTTAATCTGTTCAAAATAAAAGAAATAAAGACAAATTATGAGCAGCATTGTTTTTATGCATATTTTCCGGCAATCTTCAGAATCTCTTGGAAATGACGTCACATATGATACTCATCAAGTTGTTGTATAGCCTAGTTCTGACGTTAAGCATAACGTTTTTATCTAATTGCCAAAATGATTTATTGTGCTGCCTTTGGATGTACAAGAGGTGCGTTTACGCCAATTTTTTTTTTATGTCATCAGCATCATGACATGATCGATGTTGACTTGCGTTTTACGCTTGTTTCGACAAATGTGTTTGCTACTAATCTGTTTCTACCTTTCCTTTCAACAAAAGAAAAAATGACTGTTTAAATTCCATCTAGAACTTGACAAGGTGAAATATTGTAACAGCGGCAGGCCTATTGAATAAGAATAAGCCAGTGCGAGCTATAGTGCCCATGCATAACAAGCTCATTTACTACTTTAGTCTTAATTTTCAGGACAGATAACATAGCAGTCTATGGACAGCGATGGATAAAAAATATAATACGAAGGGTTTACTACATTAACAGTTATCAAGTTATCATTTAGAATAATGTTGGCAAATGCAGGTATGCTCAGTTCAAGCAGTAGTCTATATCACGAGTCTGATTTTGTAAATGCAGCAAACCTTTTTAATTATATTTTTTTCCATATTATTTATTAGCCTATTCCCGAGATCGAAATAAGAGCGACAATTTCAAGTTTATTTCACGAAGTATTAATTCATTTAAAAGCACTTTACTCAGAAATAACTGTTGTAAAGTATTTTTTGGTAGAATAATTTCATATTATTGATGATTATAGGCCTTTTTATAGGCCAGTTGTCGCAAAAATACGGGCATTTATTTTCGGAAATTGGACATTTTATCGGTTCAAACTAATATTCTCCATTGAATCAGCTGTGTTTATTCTGATGAATATCATCTATGATGTCACTGAGTAACGTGAGACATACCTAATTAAAGATTGTCAGGCTTGCACAGCTTGGCATTAAATTGCGTATTTTATTAGCTATTACGATGCAAATGTAGAATTTTTCGGCTTTCCCCTACTAAAATATACTAATCTAGCCTTGCATCATGAATTTATTCATTTTTTTCAAACAATGCACATATCCTTTAATATTCATTACCTCTCAAAAAATAAAATATACAACAAAAAAAAAGAAAAAGACAAAACTTACTTGCACCAGCCAGTACAAAAAGGCCAAAGGTATAATCACTATAAGGAAATATGGTGTTGAATAACTAATTACAATAAGAGTGCTGGCCACATTAAACACTGTATTAATCCAACTTCTAAATAACTGGGGCAAGTTGTTGTCAACAGTTTCTACATCCCTTGAAAATCTATTAACAATTCTGCCAACAGGAGTCGTGTCAAAAAAGGACATAGGTGATCGTAAAATGTTGGTTATCATTTTGTAATGTATATTTCCAGCTGCCTTCACAAATCTTACAGAAGCCAGTAAAGCATATGTCAAAACTGCTATGGCTGAAAAAAAAATCATTATTGAATATAAAAGATGAGTCTAGACACTCACACAGCATAAAATTTCAAGGCAGCTTTTACCTTTTTAAATAGGCATTAGTTTGGATAACAACTACAACTAGAGCCACACGTGGCACAGAGTGGGACTTTGCAAATGTAGCAAACTACAAAAGATCCTGAAAAGATCAACCATCGACAATAATTAGGTTTAGTGTAACAACAGACTAATGAACAGAACTTTGCATTTTTTTTTTTAGAAGATTGTAGTACTAGAAGTAGACATCAGACCTTGTAAAGGAGATGTAAAAAAAAGGTCAAAATCATGATATATGTCATAAAAATTTCAAATTGCTATAAAACCGATAGTTGACATAGGACAGCAAATATAAAGTATAAATTGATAGCCACTGGCAATGTCAAGATCAACAAAGGTGAAGGTCAAGACTTGAAAATATTGAATTTCCAAATCCTGTTTCTCTTTTTTTAACTATGAAGCTGAAAGAACTGAACTTCTAAGACGATGTGGCTCAAAAGATAAGGTAATTGTATGCAAAGTTCCATTTTGAACAAACCTATTCTATGCGCGTTATGTCCTTGCCCAAAAATGTCAATAATGAGTAATTTAACCCAGATGTGCCACGCCCACTCCATTCGTTTTGACATCAATATAAATATTCACACCAAATTTTGATGCGTTTTAAATAAGTCAAGGGCAATAACTCAAAAACCGTTCATTAAAGATCGTCCGAATTCGAATTTGTCCAAGATCTCATTGATATAAATGATCACACCAAATTAAATTAAAATCGGATAAAAACTGTACTCTCTGTTGCGTTCACAAGCCAATTGTGGACAGACGGACAGGGGCAACGATATAATAATTTGCTCATGAGGTATTGCCTTGACTTATGAATTACCTGAAAAAATTAAAGAGCAGTGTGATTTATTAATTTGATGTATAGAAGTAGTATGAGAATATATAGATAGGGGGCACTTTTTATAATTTATAAAAAAAAATCGCTTTTTGACATACAGTGGTGTAACCTATTTTCGTGGATATAAGGATTCAACACCGAATTTCGTCAAAGTTAAAAAGTTTTTTATGAATCCTTCATTTTGACCCATATTTCATGAGCAACCAACTCGGCAACGGCGGCAGAATGCGTCACCTATTTCGTGTACAATGTTTGATCTATAAATAAGTCGAGAAAAACACGTTCTATGGATACCGGTGGTATAATTAACTTCTCTTAGTATTTATCTTTAATATCAATTCATTATAACTAGTGACAATTCCTTCAAAGAACCACGATTTAAAAAAAAATAGTGACTGACAAAATAAGATACGTAGCGTGATTTATTGCTAAAAGTCACTGAAACAACATAAGAATACGGCCCACTTTGTGTTCCATAGAAATTTTCTGCTGACACGGAATCCGCTAGTTGATCACGTGACTTCATTCGTTGGACTACATTCTAGCAGACGACACTTGAAATTCCGATTACCACTCTGGATTATAAGGAAATTCGGCCGATAAAAAATGGTGACGTTTGGTAATAAGTGAAATCCGCCATTTTGTATTTGTCAAAGTATACATTAATACATTTTACCTTGCTTGAAACTACTGGATTCATTCTACTAGCTGACATTGTAGAGAAAACCCATGTTTATTAAAACAAACTAACGCGGAGGTCGCGCAAGGTCGCTCATGTAAATTATTAATCACTTCCGAAAATCCACGAAAAATAGGTTTCCACGAAATTAGGTTACTTGACTGTACTACCTTTTTGCCTGCAGCGCCCCCAAGCCCACCAAACAAACAACCCCACCAGGCACGTGGTTAATAAATCCGGAGCCTATAGGGGTACCGTTTACCAACCCCCAAGCGCCCGAGGCCTATAATATCTTTTAAAAACAGAATGAATTTAATTTTCAAAATTAATTAGCAAAAGCAGGAGTAAATATAACAAAACAGTGAAAAGATCTAACGAGTTGAAAGAATTACAACATATAAGAGAAATGCGAAATAAAAGATTAGAAAACAAAAAAGGCAATGGTTTTAAAATTATTGGATAAAAATGTTAATGATAATTGCTCAAACTCCTAAAACTTATTTCGGTTCTGACAATCAAAAATCATTAGGTTCTCTTCCTGGATTTCCATGGGCAAAATATCCAGGAGAAAAACATCCCCCCGGTCATAATTACACTGGTCAAGGTACAAGGTTAGATCTGCGATTAGACCAAAATGATAAACCCAAACCAGGTGAAGAACCTGTTAATAGAGTTGACGCTGCTGCACTTAAACACGACATATTATACAGAAATAAAGACATAACATCCAGACACGAAGCAGACAAACAAATGATAATCGAACTTGAAAATATTCCAAATCCAACTTTCAAAGAGAGAATTCAAAGAGCATTAATCATTAAACTCTTGAAAGCAAAGATGAAAATGGGTATGGGAATAGAAGAAGAAATACACAAAGAATTTAGAAACTTAACTGATTAATGGGAGGTAACACTGTTTTTTGTTTACTTCAAAGTAAAATACCAACCAGTTTATACACGGTTAGTTTTCTAGAGTTTTATTGATTTAATAATTACCATTAACGCCCGGTAGCAATCACTCATCTATTTTCGACTGGATATATGTCACTAGGTAACAGATGGTTTTATTAACATATAACATTCGGCCCATGCCACGTCGGCATAGACAGACTAAACTCTCAACTATTAACACTGTCTCAATTTTGTTACGCTGGAAGATTAGGAATTTAATAATACAAAATTAAGGTATGTTCTTTGTTTAATTTAATCATAAGATGAGAGGGTGGAATTAATATGATATGTTATTTGTTGTTTTTCAAAATATCAGTTTTGTTCTATTCCAGACATAGGTTTAATAGATGTCAATATTTCATATCACGAAGAATATCTAAACCATCGCAGGCAGTGGGGGATATAAAGAGGACAATAATTTTACCAAACTCTGTGACAAATATCCGAGGATTCAAAATTGTTGATACAGATTTCGAAAATAAAACAAGTGCTGAAGAACAACCGCTTTGGAAAAGGATAAAATATGTGACATATATCTAGCGATTCTATAGGAGTGGTCGTAACCCTTGACCCTTGAACTATGACTACCAATAGTGTAAGAGGGGAGATAACTCTGAAGTATATCTAGCGATTCTATAGGAGCGGGCGTAACCCTTGACCATTGACATTAGACCTATGACTGGCAATAATGTAAGAGGGGATATAACTCTGAAGTATATCTAGCGATTCTATAGGAGCGGTCGTAACCCTTGACTGGTTACAGTGTAAGAGGGGAGATAACTCTGAAGTATATCTAGCAATTCTACAGGAGCGGTCTTAACCCTTGAACTATGACTGGCTAAAGTGTAAGAGGGGAGATAACTCTGAAGTATATCTAGTAGAAGTGTATATCAATATATTTGTAATTGTTTACGTTTTAAATTTCCTTAAAAAAGAGGATTACATTATCTTATCACCAACCGTTGGCTCTAGGTCTCAACTAAATTATGGGGGTAGGGTCATTCATTATCGAATTGGTTGCTTCTGTTTGATGCCCATTTCAGATGCGATTTCAAAATCAAAGACGGAACTCCCAATGAGAATCGTGTACCACAAACCAACACAGCAATAGAAAACAATTTCTTTCCATCTTTATTTACTGAAATGGATTTGGAAGCTGGTTGAAATCCTATAGAAACTATTAAACACCCTGGAGAATTTGACACAATGTTGAAAACAGTTCTATATCCAAAAAACTATAATTCGGGTCTCAGGCTGGATACCCGATGTTGGCGATGGAAGAGTTTTGAAAGAACCGGTAAGAAATGTTCCAAATGATGCAAATGAAGATAGAATGAGAGCTATTGCTCGAAACACAATAGAAAGAGTAGGACGAGCTGGTAATCACGGATTTGAAAAACGAGTACTTCAGTACAATAATGTTGTTAAGAATAATAGGTGGGGTAATTACGTAAATTGGAAATTATATCCATTATTCGGTCTGTTGGAACACAAGGTTTCCATAGGGTTACCATATAAAATTCATCTACAAAGAGAAATGAATGATGATAAGATATTCTTTGGAGAGAATGCTTCAGATGCAAAATTAGAAATATCGAATCTCCAATTTTACATACCAGTAATAACACCATCAATTGAAGTAGAAACGAGAATATTCCACTCATAAACTAAAGATATTGAAATAGCATTTTTTCGTCGCAATACAATAGGTAGCATTACTTTAACTGGAGAATCCACTACATGGCCAATCACTAACACTATTAAACCAGCAAGATATTTAATGGTTGGTTTCAAGAACTTTCCAGATTCTCAAACGAATAACAATAATATCTTTAGAGTAGCAATGAACCAAACTCAAGATCCTATAATCCGTAAAGTTCAAGTAAGATTAAACAACGATAATTATCCTAACCAACCTTTAACAATTAATCCAACCACAAAGGATTATAATGAATTGTATAGAAACTATAAAAATATGTGTGAATTATTTGGAAATTCACCTCAGTTTGAATATGTAGATTTTGCAATTAATCACCCAATCTTCTGTTTTGATCTATCAGCTCATCAAGAAGATCTTTTCAAAACAGGGGTGAATATAAATATTTATATTGAAAAAACACAAGGAAATGTAACAGGTTATTGTTTATTATTGGAAGAAGCAAAACATTTAATTGAAATATCCGACAGACTTATGATTCGTATAGAATAATCATTTAAATTACCCTCCTAAAAATGAAACCAGAAACTTTAGTAAAAAGAATAATAGAAGCTATCGAAACGAAATCACCAACTACAATAACATACAATGGTAAAAGGATTAAAATATCTAAAAAAATTATTGATAAATATAAACATTGTAAAGTCCGTGATGATATAGATTTGGAAAGACTTGACAAGAGTGTAAAGGAAGGTGGATTTTTACCTTTCCTACCTTTGATA